TCATGTGGGAGATCCATGCTACTCTATAACTTTCTTATATAAGAAATTTCTTTTAACAATTTGAAGTTAAAAGTTCAATATATTATTATTGGTACAAAGTCTGCTATACATTTGTTTTTTCTATTTTTTTATTTGTTGTGGTAAATTGCATATATTGTACATGCACTCATTTGCTTTTCTTCTTTTTTCTTCACTTTCTCTGTTTCCTCCTCTCAATCCTTCATTTCACCCTCCCTCCACAGCATCCTTCTTGAGCCTCCTCAAGCAATGAATTCTCCTCAACTCACACATAAAAACTAGATGCCCATCGGTCCCTATTTCTTGCCAATACCTATCCACTGTGTACAAGACATCATAAACATAAGCTTTGACTGGCTTACCTGAAGGCTTCGTTTCTTTCTGTCTTTGGGTAACACAAACGGGAGTACTCATTGTTTATATACTATTCTTTAAAGCCAAATTTCCTATCTCGAGCTTCTGATCTTTGAGTTGTTTATTCTTCCTAACAATGTTTCCCCTGTTATAGGCGGTGAATGCCAACACTAACAAGCTTAACTCTATATTGAAATTTGTCACCACTTCAACTCCAAGTATTTATCCTAACATTTGCTTGCATGTGTTAACTTTCATCTTTTTCTTCGTTTATAATCTTTGCTGCATGAAGATCAATCATGTTCATTCGAAAATTCTTGTATAGCTCCCCATCTCCGTCCAAAAAACTTCCAAATAATCTTTTTCTTCATTTCAAAGTTCTCTTCAAGTCCAACACAAATTCTTACTCCCAATGGGCTTCCAAGTAGAATTTCAATTAGAATTCGCCAAGTAAATTTGAATGGGATTCAACAATAACATTTCTAATAGAATTCTTCTCATTGTGCACTTTAATTAGAACTCTTAATTATCTTCAACAAAAAATTCGAGTCACATCAAAACTCTAACAAATGTGATGGAGAAACCATTTAGTGATTGTTCCATATGGTGAAACCTGACCCATAATTTCTACGACGGGCACTGGAATTGCCCCGACGAACCTTATTTCCACCACTGTGATCACCATCCATGTCTTTACCTTCTTTAAAGATTTTGTTAGTTTTGATTAACTGATGTCAAATTGGATGGATGGTGAACAATATTGTAAGTATGTGGATTGTTTTGGAACAAAATCAAGTGTTTCATGTTTGTGCACACTATGTGTAGGCAAGGTGTGTGTGCTGTGTGCAATTTATTTTGTTTTTTACCACAATTCTAGTTTTATTTTTATTTTTTATTTTCCTATTAGCAATTTGAAATAAAAAGTTCAATATGTATGATTAGTACAACACATGTTTTATATTCATTATGATACATGATCTCTAAAATATATGTATATGTGTTTACGTGCTCGATGAAGCAAAAGAGACGTTGCTTTGATATCCTATTATTTTTACACGTTTTAAAAATATCTTGGATTTGGAAAAAAAAATAATGCATTTCAGAGTGTAATTTGGCGGTACTTTCATGATTTTTCATCGAACTGGTTCACTATTCTAAAGTTGTGTGAATCGGGCCACAAATTTTATGGAGAAACGATTAGGTAGTTGCTCCATATGGCAAAGCCTGGCATAATTGTTGCGATGGGCACTAGAATCATCTCAATAAACCTTGTTGCCACTACTGTATCCACGTTTTCTATTTGCAGCTTCGTTAGTTATTCTATTAGTTCTGCCTAATGGATGTCAAATTTTGGATGGGTAAGCTGTTTTATGATTCCATGGCTTGTTTTGGATTAAAATTCAATGCGTGCATGTTTGTGCATACCACGTACAAGCATGGTTGTGTGTCCTATGTGCAATGTTTGTGTTGTTTTATACCAGGTGTGGATTCAAGTGCCCTTATGTGGGGTTAGCTGACCCGGCAAAATTTTTCTCAATTTTTTTTCTTTACACTTATTCGCACAATTTTTTTTCTTTTCATTTTTCTCCTAAGTTCTCTTGAGTCTCGAATCTCACTTTTCTCCCAATACCTAGGTTTGCCATTTTTACGAAATAATTGTCTTTTATACCGAGTTCATCTACTCCGACACTAATACTAATGACTTTTTCTCCACCACAATGCGAGACATCACAATCCCTCAACCCACGGTTTGAATTGAGCTATTTGATTGAAAAATGATATTGAACGATAATCTAATTGTTCATATTGAAATTGATGCATTTGATAACATTGATAACGATGTAATTGTATGACAATGAAAATGTGTATGCAATATATAATAAATTGAATTATTTTCGTTAATGTTATGTTGCTCGAAGAAAATTAACTTAAGTTTTGACTTCATGATAAAGAATGTCTAGCTCCGCCACTACATACAACATTCTAGTTTTACATTTCTAAAAATTTTCCATAGTAGCCATTTGAAGTACTTTCGGGATTTCTCATCGAACTAGATTATCAACATTTTATATAAGTTTCATTTGGGCCCAATATTTTACATATGTTGCACTTATAGTCTTGACTACCATTTTCGGTTGAAAAAACTAATAAAATGACCTTTTATTGAAATGACAATTATAATCTTATATTTTTCAATGAATATAATAAATAAAATAATTACTCAATCTTCTCCTCCACCATTTAGGTCAAGATCAAGATCCACATATTTTACAAAGATCGAGGTCTCCAACACTTTAAGAAGTTGCATTTAGATCCTCAACCTTTAATAAAGATAATTTGTGCCTCTAGATTTCAATGTTATGCTTGTTTTCTCGATCCTTCTTCCATTAAAATGACAAGTTTTATGAAAAGACAAATCTAACCTCAATATTTCAATAAAGGAAAACATAAAAATATGTGTGAAAGAATTCCATGGATATTGGCTGAACTCATATTTACAAAATAACTCTTTCTATTAAAATATAAACTAACAAAACGATAAGAAAATTATTTATGTTAGAAAAAAATTATATTACCACAATTTTATTTTATTTTTCTTTTATTTACTTAAATAGCCTGAAATAAAATTACAAAAATAGGATTTTAATATTTTTTTTTTTTTACATAAAACAATCTATTGTTCCACCACAAACATGAACAATTTTTCTTATTTTCCCTCAACAGCGGACGTGCACAGCTTTTTCATCCACGGCGGCTTTTGTGTTCCTCCATGGCAGATAATTTCTTTTCCTCGCAAGTAATTTTCTGTTGGAGTTAAGAGGAAAATATTGAAGGAGAAAGAAAGGAAAGTAAAATATATTTATGTAGACCAAATTAATTTGGCTGCCTTAACAACTAAATCAATGGTTGGAAAAAGTCATCACGGCATTTGCTAGCACATTCATAAAAGGGTACTCGTCGAGAAAGGTGGTGTGGCCACATTCAAAAAGGGTGGACGAGAGGGGTAAGCCGGAAAGGTGGTTCGGTTGTACTGTGGTGGGCGTTGGGTGGGTTTGAATATCCAACATTTGATCGCGTTTAATGTGGTGTACAGATAAATCAATAAAATTATTGTGGTATATAATTTTTAATTGGGTTATGTTATATTAGTCAAATTGAAGTTGTGTATTTACTAAAAATATATTTTAATTGGGATGGATTTAAATGTAATTGAACGAAAATAAATTGTGGTGACAATATAACCGTCATTTATGGTGACAATGCTAATATTTTTCATGTGAATATAAGCAAACATGTTTTTGTATTCATTGAGGAATAATAAAGAAATGGTTACGCTACGTACCATCACTACATACCAAATTAAAGTATGCTCAAAAGAAGCTAATTCGAGTGTTGGCCACAATAACAATAAATTTAAGTTGAAAATATATTTTTTCTTATAGTTAATTTAGGAATAGGATCATGGATTACCTACCAATTTCTGAAGATCATAGTCCTTTTGAGTATCTATATATAGTAGTAAATTGAAAGTATGAGAAAGAGTAAGTTTTTAAATACTAGTTAGAATTGTCGAAATAGGCGGCTCATCATGCCGACGATGTCTGGACCTATTTGGACTTCACTTTTTTTATTATTTTCTTCTGTTTTAGAAGAAGAAGGAAAAAAAAGGGTATCCATTGACCAATTGAGAGGATCGTGAACATTGGTCATAGCTTGCCTCATGAGCCATAAATGATTGGACATCTTAAGTATAACTCGTATATTTTCGTTGAAGATGTCTAATCATTTAAAAATATTTAATGAACACTTAAACTCGTGTTAAACACTAAGGAAGTTAAATATTATTATTCGCAAATTAAATACAAAAATTATTCTCTCATCCGTTATTGATACAAATTAGAGCTTTTAGACACTTGAGGGAATAAAAAATAGGGCTAGGCCCATAATTGCTGTTTTTATCCATTGCCTAATAACTCACATTAGAGGCCCAAAACCCAGACCTAATCAAGTGGAAATGGCATTTTTAAAGAGCAACTTTAGTTGCCACTAATTTTGATGTATGTTGCTCTAAGCCGTTGATCACCATCTGAGATCTATAGTGTGTGTGGACTATAATTTGGGCATTACAATGTTGTCCTAATTAACTTTGATCATCTGATTTTCTTAAGCCTTCTATTTTGCGCGTCTGTTGATGTCCTTCGTCTTCCCTAATCATCTTTAACCTCTAGCCGGACAATCTTCCTCTGAGTGAAAATTGAGTATCTGTGATTCTATGTGTAAGAGAAGAGTGGGTGGTTCTGATTCATAGAGGCAACGTGAACCACTTATGGCATGGTTTTGGTGATTTTTGGTTAGTAAAGAAGGCTACAATGGTTTGAGCCTAAAATAGTTGTTTCGAAGATGACTTTGTTGGTGTCTTGAGTTTTATTTTTGAAGGTGTAAGTAAATTATCAACGCAAATAGAAATGAAAATATCCATATTAATTTACCAACGGAAATAGAAATGAAAAAAATCCAACCGTAGTTTCCTTCGAACTACGACATCGCTAAACTTGACACTAATAACGTCATTCATTTTCGTCGATATTTTTGATAGATATGTGTCTGAAGGTAAATTCATCAGTAATCATCGACGGTTATGTTGCCATCGAAAAAATTACTGGCACGACTTTCATCGATGGTATGTGTTGACAGGGAAATTTCTATCGATAAGTAAGTTTATCGACGGAAGAATGATCTTTAGCAACGAAAATTTCAATCACTGAAGCCACATTTTCTAGTAGCGTGAGCACCCCCATGCTGCTGGGCGGTCACCCAAGCCATGCAGAACTACCTGTATGCCTTGATCCTGCATGCTACGTCTTGATCGTCTGGAAGCATTGGGTGGCTGTCGACAAGCCCACTAGGGTCTCGATTGGCCTTGTCCTCCACCATTTCGCACTTATCCCAAATGATATCTTGACTCGTGCTAACTTTTTAACACAAACAATGTAAAAACCCGACATTCATTTGAAAAATTCTCCTACATCTTCAAACATTAGTCCTCTTATAAAGTGATCCAAATTTTTATTTTTATTTATTATCTTAAACTTTGTACTTGTATCCTTAAACTAATTACTCGTATAAGAATACCATAGCCGGCCTTAAGCTGATTACTCGTATATATCATATATATTATTGCAATTTGATATTTACTGTATATAATTATTTCTATTCGTCATGCAAGTACTTCAACGCAAACTCTAAATTTAAACGAGGTAATTGCAAAGGACTCAATACCACCGGAGAGTGCTAAGAAAGGAGACATGCTAAACGTGCACACACACTGATATCACAGAAATAGGCCATGCTCCTCAAGCTTGATGCTGCTTATTTGGTTGATTTTCTCTTCCATTTTGGGTGTCAAATAGTTCTTCCAGTCCCCAACAACACCTTTCCTGAAGTACAAACTGTTAGGTACATTGTACACAATAGATTCATTCTTGTTCACCTTCAAATTTTTGAGTCTCTCTAAACTGCACCTCCACAAAATCTTATCGATTTCCTCTTCAGTTGCAAATGGCTTCCCAAGAAATTCAGCAAGTTTTTTAATCTCTCCCTTGGGATCCCTTTTCAGTTCTTCATATTTCAAGAACAGTATTTTCTGGGGATTCTTCCGGCTTTCCAACCAGTACTGTAAAACGTGGTCGAAAAATGGCCCATATTGATGAACCCCAGATAAGAAACAATCGACTGTTTTTTCTAAAGAAAAAGGATCTTGATCAGGGTATAAAATTGAGTTGAAGAAGTGCCACATGGATATTAAAGTGTCCTTAGGATTCCTGGCAATGTAAACGATTTTACAATCTGTGTTCTTGACTGAATCTGGGAGGATTGTGTAGGGTAAATGGCTGTGAAAAAGCCTAGGAGAAGGAGCTTTGTAAAGATCTATATGGGTTTTTGTGCTGTAGATTGTGCTTTCAATTGTTGGGACATGGAAATGAGGATTATCCTCAACTAGAAGGTCATAATCCTCGTCAGTTTTTGGGTTTTTAAGGATGCAAAGACAGAGGGATTTGAGCCATGTTGTGCCTGTTTTAATGTTTGATGTTAAGACAACGTCGTTGTGTTGTGCTTGAAAGCATGATCTGAAGGTCATGGCGGGTTGAACAAGGCCGGGTTCGAACCAAAAGCCTTCCCACTGGATAATATCCATGGCATCCATGAAACGAGCTTTTGGGAGATTTAGAAGGTTTTCAGCATTGTTGGAATTAGGGTTTGATGATAAATCCCCCATGGATTATCTGGTTGAGAGTGACCGAAGAAAAGTTTGATTAGCAGTGAGATGTATATTTGAGAGGATTCTACTAAGTAAGTTTATTTATATTGGTTTGAAGAGCTTTGGGGCTTTATCTGTCTACTACTAAAAATTGGCTCCTTTGGCATGACTTTTGATATAAAAGTTCTTCTTCTAGTTAGAATAATTTTTAAAAGAAAGTCCAACATTTTTAGAATAAGAAACTCTTGAAAATTAGTTTTTAAACGAAAATTAAGGTAATTTTTTCCAAAGGTATATTTGGATATGGGTACAGGGATTTAAGAAATTTATTTGTAGGGATAATAGGATTCATGTGTTTTTATAAAAATAAATAGTAGCTGTAAAAGAGTAAATTAGACAAAATATAATTTAACAGGCTCAAATAAAGGAGGGGACAGCCCAGCAATTTCACCTATTTTTTAGGACTTTTTTAAGGACAAAGGACATAAGCCCGGCTTATCTTCAATTCTTTCAAAATTCTTTTTTTACGTATTTATTTTCAACCACATATTCATGCAATATAATATTCTGCACGTAAATTTAAAATTTTTCCTACTTTTTAACCACATATTTTTCAAAAATTCACAATTCAAAATAATATTTTTTCCAAAAACATGGCCACCAAGGGGGCGAAGTTTGTTTAAGGTTGACGNTATTTTTTACCTAATCTTTTACCTACACTCACAATAGGATGTAGGGACCTCACATTTGGGAGGTTTTTATTCACGCGAGCCCACGCGCATGTGAGAGGGTGTAACATTTTCGATACACCATTTTCGGTACGAACAGAATTATCCTTAATGTTAGGAGTTGATTTAAGCTGCTCTATTAAGGAGGAGAATTGGACGTCTGTGTGATGTTTCTTCTTGCTAGATAAGGTGTAACTTAAGGTTTCAAATCCTTACCCTATCACTTGCGAGAATGCGCAGTCAAATTCATCCTAACACATGCACATGGAAAATTTTATATAAATCACGGAGTTGTGTCGGAACAAATGAAAAACAAATCATTTTAGATTATTTTAATTTAATACGACATTATGAGCAAGTTGTACACGTGAATCAAGAGTTTGACTAGAAGGCACTCCTCGATGCTTGAACAAATTAAGTTGAATGTCCCATAATTATGGCTCGTCAGTTTACATAATTTCCAAGTCAACGAACCATGTGCAATCTAACATATTGCATGTGACTTGTTAGACTTACTCTTAACCTTATCTTTGTTTTTTCAGATAAAGAAAATAAAAATGAGTTTTATAAAACTAATATTAGTTGTTCTCTTAAATTTATAAATCTAGTATAACTTAAAATCATTTTTTTTTAAAAATACAACTCACTTAAATATATTTTAGTTTTTATTGATTGTCTTGTACGTATGGATACATAAAAAAATGTATTGTAAAAAGAAATAGATCTAATAGTAACTTCGAATATGAAATTCAAAGATATCAAATAGGAAATGATACTCTAAATCATAAAACTGTAATGAAATATGCGATCAACCAACATTTATGAAATTTAAAAAAGACTCGGTTTGATCATTTTATCTTGATATGTCGAATCGGGAAATCCATGAAATACAACTCACTTAAATATCTATTTGTTTTTTCTTATTAATTTTCTTGTTCTTTTGTTTATTCTTTAATTCCACTCAGCCCTTGTTTGATGATCGTTATTTGGAAAAAATAATGTTTGGAATAGTGATTTTTAGAATAATGTGTAGGAAAAATTTTGAATTTACGTGTAGAATATTTTATTGTATGAATATGGTAAAAAATGAGTATGTTGACAATAGAGTTTTTAAATAACAACCATCAAACATGGGCTCAATTGCAACATATTATTGACTTTTTCTAAGACTTTTGCCTATGCTTGAGTCCCATTTTTCGTTGAACATGAGTTTTGTAATATTGAAATTTCGGAAAATATTTGGTTAAAAAGTAGGAAAATTTTTATATTTATATGCAAAATATTTTATTTAGAGAATGTGAGTTTGAAAGAAAAAGTGAGTTTTAGATAATGGGACTCTAGTAGAGTATACACCTTTCGATTGTTGATCCTACTTCTAAGATCTAGTTGTTTTAGATCTACCAACTAAACGGAATGGGAAAGAAAATTTCTGACCTTAAACTACGAAGAATAAGCGTAATAGTTGTTGATACATGGATCGATTCTTGATCCCGTTTCTAAAACTTGTTTTACTAACACGCATATTCTTGAGTTTATTTTGTAAGTTTATATTTCTAAGTCCTTGTTTTACACTTATTATTTTCATTTTTCAAACTCTTTTTTCTACCTACTCACTTTCATTCACACATTTACACCACAAAATATTTTGCACGTAAATCCAAATTTTTTCCTACTTCTGAACTATACATTCTTCCAAAAATCATTATTCAAAACATGAATTTTTTTTCCATTTAATGGTTGTCAAATAGGGGCTAAGAACATCCACTAACATGACCGTGGTGTCCAATAATCGTGCAAGGGAAAATGACATATACGTCTAGAAAAAAAATATAATTTAAAAATCCTGAAAAATGTACAATAGTGAAAGTACTCTCATTTATTACATTTTCAATAAAAGTCACATAATGTTTTTCTTATCGTAAGTGTTTTTTTTTTATCGCAAGTGTACAATATCAAACAAGTAGTACAATGGACTCATGAGTCCAAATAATCGTTCTCACATAAACTATTATATATTTGTAATTTACTAATTCTAACTTCTATTTACGCTCACAATTCTCGAATTAGGGTTTTAAGTATGAAGGAGATATTATGGCACACAATTTTAGTTATTGGTCACTTAAATTATCTAATCATGATTCTTTACTTAATATTGTCCTCGATCGAATTCTTCTAACATATTCGATTTACTTTTCTCATGTTCAAATTGATGCTATTTAATTAAGTCAATTTTATATTTCTATATAAAATTGGATACACCTTCATTAAACATTTTAAATCTCTAAGAATTCATGTAACTACAACACTTACTAGAAAATGTATCTCTGCATTTTCATACAAGTTACCAAATTTTATGGTGTAGTCTAAATATATAATTTATCTCTCGATTCTTTATAGATTCACACGATCATCGAATTATTGGACAAATAATTCAAAGCATTAACAATCTTAGATAAAATCAACACATAAAATTTAGAACTAGAATCTTGAAAACTAAATTAAATGATTTAAATAAGCTATATTGTTCACCCTCACGAAAAATTTAGTTATAGATACGAAATGAAGAAAAGCAAAAAATAATAATAGAATACATCATTGAGTTTTAAATTAAGATTAACAGAAATGGATGAATCTTGCACCACGATCCAGTTGTTTGTGGCTAGAAGAATGTTTCTTAAAGCCTGTAACCTCTGCTATACATGTATATACCATGTGTCCTTGACTTTGGATTATAATCATAGTAAAGGCACATTAGGGCATCCGTTTTCTTAGATTTATGAAAGGGATTTCCACTAGAACATGATGAAGCTCTCGTTGAGAGATCGATTAGTGATTGGGTCATCCCTTTGGTTATCCCAATGAGTAGAGCTCTCGCATCCATCAAAAAAATTCCCTCGTGTCATGCTATCCCTTTTTCTCCTTCATATCATCTTTTAGTGGATAGGTTGGTATGTCCACCCCTGCCGCTCTTTCTTTTTTATTTTTTCATTCTAGGGCTTGAAAGCTAAACTGCCATTGAAAGGTGACTATAATACCAAAAATGTTCTTCTTTCTCCAATCAAGCTTCGAACTTTCATTCTTCAATTCCTTGATCATGATTTTCTTCAACATATTGTTCTCTCTAATTCTCAAGAGTGTTGGACCCTTTTTCTAGATTAGAATATGTCCTTATATATCATTACAGTTCAAATAGGAGTTCGTATGAAAAAAGACATTGTAAGAATTTTAAAAAAATCCGTTTCTTTGGCCCAAAGGAACCCGCGAACTGGAGAGACCTGTATGTAATTTAGTTAGTTTGTTCTTGGTATATATTAAAAAAAATTATGTTTGTTTGCGTGGGTTGGATAGTCTGTCGACTTTGATTATGATTGTTTGGACTTATTTATAATGCATAAACTGTGAATAGGTGATTCATTTTTTTCTAACTTTATTTTTCTTCATGCTAGGTACAATAGTCATGATAATCATTATGAACTTTTTGGATTGGTTATTTTGATAGTATTGGTTGAATTAATGTTGTGCTTAGGTTGATAAACCAAGATCATATTGTAACAACCACTTAACCTAATGAAATGATAGTTTAGAGGTGGTTGATCCAGTGTTGGAAGCTATTTAGATATGCATTGATTATGTGCATGTTGAATATTTGTGTGGAATATTTTTGGCTAACAAGTAGAACCTATGTAGCAACCATATACTATGATTTTATTCCAATTACTGGTTCAAAAAAATAAAAGGCACTTAGGAGAAAGTTGCCTACATTGTTGTGCGGATCTAGTCTTGAGTATCCTAAACATATTCATCACAATATTTAGGAGACGATATATAGGTTAAGAAAGTTACCTGCAACATAGAGTGAAAATTATATTCGAAAATCAAGTACAAGAAATCAAGGTGGGTAGCAAAATTCAATACTAAAAAATCAATAAAATAAAATACAAATCGAATTTAATATAAACTACTAAACTAAAATTAAATTCGTTATTCCCCGGCAACAGCACCAAAAATTATTCGCGTGAAACTCGCAAATGTACGGAATCGTTGTACAAATAATAAAATATGTGAGTTAAGAGTGTCGTTCCTACGAGGAATAAGGTCTAATTTGTAGTTCAATAGCTACTATTAAATTCGGAGTATGATAACATCAAAAGAGTTGTGATTTATTTGTTATTTATTCTATTTCTGCTCTAAGAAAGTGATAAAAAAAATTGATTAAACCTAATGTGAATGCTTGTATTGGATTCATGTATCCCACTATTTCCACTTATTTCAATTCTCAATAATCATTCT